GGAAGGAAGGAAGGAAGGAAGGAAGGAAGGAAGGAAGGAAGGAAGGAAGGAAGGAAGGAAGGAAGGAAACTTGTGATATGTTTGATTTCTGACCCTACCTCACTACACAGTCAGCATAAGTTCCATCCAGAAAGTCAAAAATTCTGGAGAACATGAATCAAATCTGAGTATCCAGTAGGAGAATCTTAAACGTTCTTCAGTACTCCCTTAGCTCTTTCCACCAGGAAGTACAATTCTGGGGTCTAGCAACCCAAAACTAGTCTCTTCACAGAAACAATGCTTCTAGCTATCTTGGTTTCCCCTGCTGGCTGGAATCCTTCGCCATCTCTTACCAGAACACACAGGACCTACAGGATAACTGAGTTTGAACTCAACTTTCACCAGAGCATTGGACTGCTCACTGGTTTCTCAACCCTTTATGATTAGCAAACCCCTTATGATTAGCAAAGCGAACCCCTTATGATTAGCAAAGAGAGTAGAGTTATGTGTGAGCTTTAGACATCAGAAAAAGACACCATCGACCTCTTATGACACCCTTCTTGGCTAACCCTCTGGTTCAATGAAAGAGCTCCTGCCTTGCATAGAGTTCCAGGTTTAAATCCTGGCACCTTCAAATAGGGTTGGAGAAATTCTTACTGGATTGTTGTTAGTCAGCATCTACAATCTTGGACAAGATGGAGCTAAAGTCTGGTTTGCTTTAAGGCATTGCCCTATGCTTTGTAACTTGCTAGGTTGCCCTCAACCCGGGTATGTCAGAGAAAGATGAGAAAGGCTAAGGCAAATGAAATGGCAGAAATTCCAGATGATGAAATATGGAACCAGCTTAGTGAGAGAACATGTAGTACGGTGGCATGGATGTTCTGATTTCAAAATAATTCATGTGCTAAATCTTAAACCCTCGTTTACTCAACACAACTGCTATGCTCACATAAAGTGAAGTGCCCAAACAACATATAATGCAATGCAATGCAATAGCCTGGTTCCCACAAGATGCTAAGAAAGTAGCTGGGTTCCTACGACATGTGAAATAACAAACTATCCAACATTGTGTGAACTCAGTCAAAATGTATGCATAATAAGAACTCTCTCCCCTCGCCCCCAACATCTGAGTGATTTTGCTGATCAGAAAAGCAAAGCCAAAAAAGCCACCGAAGGGTACTTTTCTGAATGAGCTAGGTTTGCAGAGGCCATCTGCTCATGGGGAGAACAAAAGTAGGCATGTGGGAAGAAAGCCATAATCTACCCTTTTTTAATATCCGACCATGCTCTACTTTGCTCTACAAGTGGGAAATTCAGTGTGCTGCAATAGCTTGGTCCTTAAAGTTAGGATAAATGAGCAGAGACCTGGAATGCATACCCACGTAATAATGGGGTTGCTGAAAATTACACTTTTGGTTTATTGCTCCAGATGCTTTTCTCTAGAAATGAGTGGAAGGAAGAAAAGTGCCCGGAGCAAACGGAGTGAGAATTAGGAGCCTGCTCTGTACTTTGCAATAGCTGCTGTGACTATTTTGGCTTTGCTTTTTGTTGAATGTTGCTTTTGTTTTAGCCTGTGGCTACAGCAAATAGGCTTGAGTTGAACTAAACCATACGCTGGAGGAAGTTGACCCCACTGTGGTAGCAAATTAGCACTCCACCAGGTGGGGCTGTACCACGTGGCCCAAAGAGTGTTTGAGTCAGCTCTGAGTCTCTGCCAGAACAGATGCAAGAAGGTCTCTTAATTGGAGTAAGTTTTAGCAGCCGGGAAATGTCAATGCTTCTTTTCCTGGAAGGCACATTTATATTTGGGCAAAATGTTTAAACAGCTTCAGTCCCTGTGATACTGAGGATACAGATGATAGGAGTAACAATACAACATTCAACATCAGCATGGGCTGACTCTGAATTAACCCAAACCTAGTTCATGCGTGATAAATAACCAGGCATTTTAATCATGGTTCGACCATAGTAGTGTAGTTGACCCATCACACTAAACCACAATGGTGGTTTCAAACATCATACTCAGCCATAAATAGACCAACCACATTACGATTGGTGGTATTTGTGAATTAGGACACATCATGCAAATTGTTATCTGTATCACATGATCTGAAACTGCTGTTTTTAAAAAATAAGCCCTTATAGATCTCTGCCTTCCAAAACCCTCAAAGGAGGTTAGCATCAGAGTATATCAAATTCCTTTATACCAAGTTGGACTACTTGTTCCTTTAGCTCAGCATAGACTACTTGGGGACTCTATTAGTCTCTTCCTCAGATGGTCTACATCAGCGTTTCTCAACCTTGGCAACTTTAAGATGTGTGCACTTCAGCTCCCACATGCTGGCTGGGGAATTCTGGGAGTTGAAGTCCACGCAACTTAAAGTTGCCAAGGTTGAGAAACACTGGTCTAAATCATTCACATCATTTATTACCTGATCCTTATGAAACTGGAGAGACCAAGGACTTAAACTCAGATTTTCTGCATAAAAGGCACGTTCTATATCCTAGTTTTAAAACATGTACTGCAATAGTTGTTAAAAAGCGACTTCAGTCTATCCCACACAGAAGCACTCTACTTCTCCCCCCTGTCCTGCTGTGGTTTCTAATTCTCTGAAGTGGGGTTTAGAGAGAGGGGTCATTTTTACATATCTTGCATATCAAAGGGCCAAGACCCCAATTAGACAGAGGTCTGGGTATCATTCATTCAGTCAGTCAGTCAGTCAGTCAGTCAGTCAGTCAGTCAGTCAGTCAGTCAGTAGCAACCCCACCTTCTGCATGCTCCTAGCAATGCAGGGGTTCCTAGAAGCTACTTCTGCACTGTGGCCCTTGCTGAACTGACCAGGCAGCCAAACCCGTTAAACAATTATTTATTTATTTGTTACATTTGTATGCTGCCCATCTCCCCTAGAGGATGACTCTGGATGGCTCACAATTAAAGTAAAACCTGAAAACGGTTAAAAATATAAATACCCACATTCATTAGTTAAAAAGTCAGACTGTATACAAAAAATCCTATACATAAAAAGACTAATTACATGGTCATTACACAAAGGATGAGATCCTAGTGCTGCTATTAGCATGAAGAGTATTTTGGCTGCGAAAAGAAAGAAATGGCCAAGAAATCTGGCCATCTCATATTTTTCCAAAAGTGAGATGGCTTTTTTCCTTGGGAAGAACAGAAGCCAGACTTCATTTTTGTATTATTCACTGCATCACCGGTCCATTAGAATGAAAAGCCCAAATCTACCTGCAGCAAAATCCATTTCCAAAAATTCTTCCAAACCCCTGGCTTTGGCAGATACTGCTAGTAAGGTACAAAATAAGTTATTCTGTCTTGCTGTTGCCCTTTTACTCATCCGGGAGCTTATTTCAATAGAAATGCAATTCAGAGAAACAAGGCATTTCCATCATTGCTGCTAAAACTGTGGTTTCTTTCTTTATCACTCTCAAAACTGAAAAGGCTGGATTTTTCCTGCTAAAACAGGAACCACATTTCCAATAGGGTCTAAAGAGAGAGAAACATATAATCAAAAAAAAAAAAAAAAAAAAAAAAAAAAACACAACCTGGGGGAAAAGATAAAACTGATTTTAATTACCTTCATTTCTTTCTTTATCACTCTCAAAACTGAAAAGGCTGGATTTTTCCTGCTAAAACAGGAACCACATTTCCAATAGGGTCTAAAGAGAGAGAAACATATAATCAAAAAAAAAAAAAAACACAACCTGGGGGAAAAGATAAAACTGATTTTAATTACCTTCAGAATTATACAGGGATTTGCTCTGGTGTACATTATAATTCCGTTGCTTTGCAGAGTCCGCAGACGGAGAGCCAATCTGAATTCTTCGTTCTTGCTATTTTCAGAAACCCGGTATTTGATGTAACTATTCCCAGCAAAGCTAAGGGAAGTGTGTCCTGAAATAACCATTTAGAAAACAGATTACAGTGTTTTATTTTATGCCTTCTGAAGCTAAACACTGGAGATTATCTTATCCCTCACCAAGGGGGAAAAGAAAGTTAATTAAGGAAGATGCACGTTTAACAAGACTGATAAGGACGAATCTTAAAAACAAACCACAACTCTGACAGCTTAAAAACCTGTCCCTGTAGTATCTACACCTCACGCTAACGAAGATTAATGCACTAATAAGGCAGGAACTGTTCTTTCTTAGTAAGAATTATTACTGCGCATGAAACAATACCGATCTGTACTGAATAAGCAAGACAATAAGTAAAATATTGATTTTTTCTTTTGGCACACATGTGGTGGTCCAGCAACATCTGCAGGCCCTTGTTTTTATCAGAGTGACAAAAGCAATGTTGCCGCCAGCTCCACCCTTTTTTGATGTGCATGTGACACTGTGATGCGCATCAAAACGGGCAAGGCTTGCATTCCAACACTGTGACTCTGCTTCCCCCACAACTCCCTGAGGATACCATTGTGATAGGCCTATATAACTTGTGGCCTATCAAACCAGGCACAGCCTGTTGCCCAGATGTTATGTCCTACCAGTAGGTCCCCAACCCTCCTGGCTTTTGCAATTCCAAATAATAATGAAACCGGGATATTTTGTGAAGTCTCGTATAAGGCACTGAGAGTCATGGCAGGTCTGGGCAGCCTGCAAGCAAAGGGGCTGGCCAGAACATCACTGTAGCAGGTCACACCATGTCCCGCAAGTTTGAGCCTCGTCAGGATTAGATGAAGAAATGGTCCAATAGATTTCCACTGGCTCACTGAAGCCTTGTATTCTTTCTTTTAAAATATAGTGTCATTAAAGTTTTTCAAGAATTACAATTAACATTTCTTAGAAAACCTTAGTTATGCATTTGTAATGGTATATATAAACTAAATAGCAACAGAACTATATTAGTATGCTATAAAAGCTATAGACTTTAAAAAAGAAATCTACTATATGAAAAGAAATATGAAATGAGGGGGGAAAAGGAAAGAAAAACAATTCCCCCAGATTTTTTTTTTAAAAAGCAAAATAACGAAATATTAAACACTCAAAATAAAGGAAAAAAAAACCCATATGAAGAAGAATCTGTCTTCTCTTTCTCTCTCTGGCTGTTAAAACTGTCTATCTTTCTTCAGTTTCAATGTGATGATTCAGTTTTAAACAATGGATTGAACTTAGACTATATGGAACCATTGCTCCCTTGTGATACAAAGCTAAATCAAAGGGTAAGAGCTGACGCATTTCATTAAGCCAGCTTTTAGATGAGTCTAGTATTTTGAACCACTTACTTACTTAACCATCTCCAGATTACCAGCTCTACACCATGGCCTCACACAATAGACCTCTTCAGCAGCTGGACAGAAGATAAGCGTCTAATGTCAGATTCATCTCAAGTCCAACTCAGATAGGCCTATCCATTCTACCCTTTTCCTTCTGTTTCTTTTTTCCTCCTAAGAATTACTAATACACTTCACTATTCCAGGAATTTTTTAGTTTGAAAAATAATGAAACATTTTTTTTCCTTTATTAATATATTTATTGCCATCCTAGACAGTCAGGACAAATGTTTCTTCCATTTTTTTTGCAAAGACATAGTTTTTAGCCTTTTGGTAACCCTTGTTACCAATTATAGAATTATCAGTCCAAACTTTCTTAAATATGATATAAAGAAACAAAAGGCTGTAAAATACCCAATTCTCCCCCAAGAACTGGGCAAGGATGGGGATGAGCCAGTGAATATGGCCTATGGGTTATCATGGCACCATGGTCGAAAGGGTATGAAGTGTTTTTATGGGGTTGTTTTATTGACTTTATTGTAAGTCACCTAGGATTACTGCACTGTATACAATAGCTGGCTGTATAAGTCTTCTAGATACAGTAAATAATGGGTCATTTTGAGATGTTGAGCTCAAAAGAGTTTAGAAGAAAAGACTGACAGGGCTTAAAGACATGACCAAAATGATACAACAGCAGAGCAATTGGCCTACCTGAGCATTCTCCAAGTTTTCCAGGTGGACACTGACAGATGAACAGTCTCTGGTTGATTTCGTAGCCTACGCACTGCATGTCTCCTGGACAAGGCTTTTCTGTGCAAGGATCATTAGAGCCTGGGCACAATCCTCCTGTTGTACACACAAAAAGGAAAGAAATGGACCCAATTATTCACATACAAAGTAAGATATTCTTAAGACATCAATGAATGTTTCTCTTACGTGATCCTCAGAACAGACAAAAGCATGATTTGATTCCTCTGAAGACATGAGCAGTCTCTAAGGCAGTGTTTCTCAACCTCAGTGACTTTAAGGTGGGTGGACTTCAACTCCCAGAACTCCCCAGCCAGCAT